AACTACTAACCACAGCTCAACATTCCTTTCCTACAATTTCGACGTTCAGGAAAGATTACAAAATGTAATTAGTATGGGAAAAACACAGACAAAATTATTTTGCGTTAGTGCTGCACAAAACCCTTTCGCCTTATCGTGAAAAAACTGTTGTAAATTCAAAAAACTCGTTAGTGAGTCTTTCTGTACCTATACTGATAATTCTTAACTCTGTAAAGCCCAGGGTTATTCTAACGTCATCTAAATGCTGTAAAAGTGACACAAAAAGAATAAACAGAGAGAGAGAAAATGAAAAGAATAAAGCGATATTCATAAAAGAAATAAACGAACAAATCTCATATCACAGACCATTTTTCAACCTGCGGGACACAAGTGTATCCCAGATCAAAGCCTAACGTATTATCTTTAGAACCAGACATCAAAACTTATATAGTGAAAATAATACCTAACAACCATTTACCCTTCATTCAACTTACTGTAGGTTTTATTTTCACGAAAACAAAATAAACAGTCGGCATCGAGTGCACAACTATTTAAGACTATTCAATCAAATTCAGAAACTGCCTATGCTTTTCAAAATAATATTAGTCTAATTTCATGCTTTCCTGGTAAAGAACAAAATTTTTGGTCGTAATACTTATTTAAAGGTTTAAAAAATATTGCAAATGTTCAAAGAAAAAACTAAAAATACACAACCTGGTAAAGTCCCGTTTTTCCTTTGGGTTTTAACCCCTCGGGTAGAAGACATTATGTCTACCTGAAGAAGTAAAAGTGAATATTAACAACACTAATATTGTTCCAAAAGCGAAACGCTGAACATTTATAAAACATGCACAACACTCTCCAACAACTAATTAAACAGTTCCCCGGGTAGAAGTTCAAAGACAATATTTGCCAGCCGGAAGCTAGAAGTCAAGGGTGAAGCCAATTTCTACTCAACATATTTGATTCATACCACAAATAAGACAATATGTTGCACCAAAAGCACAACTGAAGAACGCATAACAATTAACAAAGCATCGTAAAAGCTACACAAAAAAGCAAAGCCATACATGCCTTAAAGCTGCCAAAATTAATATTTCCCACTGTCTACATCATTGAAGCAAAAGTGATTACAAAAAACACAACTAAAAAAATACATGCAAAGTAAAAATGAAGCAACAGCGATGGCTCACACTTAAATCACGCAATCATGCTGTCTAATAACTGCAGTTCGTGAAAGATTCCGACTCGAGCTGGAACAGAAAATATGTCAGAAAACAAGGGACAAAAAACCAAAATAAAAAAAAAAAACATTTATGTGAAGCTAATCTGTAAGACTCCGTTACAATCCCAGTGAATCACATTTGTTGCTGAAACCTAAAGTACAATGACGATTCACTGACTTCATAAAAGTAAGTGACGTTGGTTCTCTAAAATA